CTTCAATTATGTAGAAAGCCTTTCTGTAAATCTCTACTTGGCAGACCGACACACACACACACACACACACACACACACACACACACACACACACACACACACACACGCTGATGAATGGCTATGCATGCACACACGTACACCACAAAAGAACGTGATGGGAAAGACAAGTGGCCACTGTTTGATATTCTGTTGGGTTAAATACTCAGATCACGCCTTGTTCACACGCTTCATGAAATGGGATGCTACCGAAGACGTGACATGTACGAACACCCTGAGTTCTAGACAAATCGGAAGACGAGATTTTTGTGGTCGAACTTTCGTCCCACAGCACTTGACGCCAAGGGTAAACAGAAAACATGGCTGACCATGAAAATTTTTTACAGTCATGGCAGCCAAGCAGCGCCCTTGAATACACAACAGTGAGTTGTATATAAACATTAGGTTTTACTATAGGATCGTATGAACTATTTGAATTAAATACAGGCGAATATACTTCACGTTGCATTACTCCATTGTGGTAATGTTGTACGACGTCAGAAAACTGCATTAGGAAAATCTCGACTTCAGAGTTTTCTGGAACACATTTGCTGTGCTTCACATTTCAGGTGTATGTGTGTGTGTGTATCTGTGAGTGCTCCTATGACTAAAATGATCCCATCTGGAAAAAAGTAGGAGAAGATTTTTTTTCTCTCCTACAGATCAGTTTCAAACTTTCTTTACCGGGCCCATACATTTTTGGAGCACATGCACGAGAGAAAACCGTCATGGTAGAAGTGCGTGTGTGTGTGTGTGAGTGTGTGAGTGTGTGAGAGAGAGAGAGAGAGAGACAGCTGCGAATGAATCGAGGAAAACAGAAGGAGTCGGGACCAACAGCACAGAGCGAGCATGGAAAAGAGGTGCGAGTGATGAGTAACAGAGGCAGAGGGGAGGGGAGGGGAGGTGGCATGGTAACAAAAAAAGAACAAAAACATCTATGGAGCCACGCACCGGGCCTCAGGGTGGGAAAACAAAAAACTGCAACCATGTGTAGGGAGCGGGGGGGAGTGACAAACCTTCTTCTGCTTTATTGAGGGAGCTGCTCAAACTGCCCTAAATGAGATTTGGGGTAAAAATATATCCTTTAGATATCTGTATAAATCAAAAAAATTCAAAAGAGGGAGGAAAGAACAGAGAGAAGTGAATGGTTTGTGTGGGGGATGTGAATGAATCACAGGATGACAGCGGAGGTCCACTGTGCCTGCTGAGTTTCAGAGGCCTCTGAACAATGTGTGACCCTCAACAGCAATTCTCCGTCCCGCTAAAGCCCCCCCTCTTATCTGATAAAAATAACTTGAGTGGTAACCCCTGAGTTTTTTTTCGGGGATGGTTCGTTTTGCATCGATCTTTTGGGTCGAGGTTGTTCCTGGGCCGCACCCTCCCTGAGGGTCACTCGTCTGTCAGCAAGGAAAACACATCATTTCCTGTGAGCCACAGGAGGATTCTGGGAGAGCGCCAGGTGTTTCATAAACTGCTCATAAATTGAATGACAAATGCATTCAGCGGTTATGTGCAGGGCTTCTGCAGGTTTCAACAAGGTATATTTAAGACTTTTTAAGTATTTCAGTATATCTGTTCTACATTAGTATTGTTTGTAGTTTTATTACAGCATTCTTATATCCGTATAACCGAGGGAGCACTTCAACACAAGGAGACATAACATGCATGAAACATTGCACAGTGTGACGAAAGTAGCGTTAAATGTACATTAACATAAATAAAACATACGGACATATATAGAAAGCTCTATTTTTTTTAAATCTCGGTTATTGTTTGGCTTTGCATTTCTGAAAGTGAACAAAAACAGACAATAACTGACCACAAACATCAATAAGTCATTACAGCCTCAACTCATATATAAGCAGTATGTATATATAAATGGCAGATGTGCATTTGTGTCTAGAGATGTGGTAAAGGTCCATGATGTTCCATTCTTAATATTTCTCTTCCACTGCAGAGCAGAAAATGCCATCTGCGCTTATACAAACCCACAAACACACACACACAACGACACAATGAGGGTTTGGCTTTTTATAGAGGCCTGATTGCTGTGGTGTGTGTGTGTGAATGTCAGAGTGTACGTCTAAATCTCTTTTCGTGGTTTGTTCGGCATGTGCCAGCATCTGAATGTGTTGTGTCTGTGCGGAGCATGTTGTGCTATACGGCCCGGCCGTCCTGCAGAGGCATAGAGGGAGTGTTAAACACTGAGAGTCCATATGCGTTGCTGAATGCACGACCTCACATCTGGATAGCAGACCGCTCTGGAAAGCCGAGAAACCAGCGCTCCCTCTCTGCGGGGACGCATTCCAGTAAACCCAACCCTGTCCACTCCCAAACACTTGCTGTAGAAGCTCACAGGGAGTCGAACACACGCAGTATCTTGCAGATATCAGGAAGGAAACTGAGACTGTGCTATCACTTTTAATTTCTCTGCCAACACCGGGAGTCTCCTTTCACCTCTGGCACGCTCTAATGACTGTCATGCATATCTAATGCCAGCCTCACTGTTCCAGCGAGCCACCTTCCTCAAGGTCCATTCAGTTCTGGATCGCTCTCTGGAGTTTATTACAGTGTGGGGCGAATTATTCAGCCAGGGTTACTATAGGCAGCAAATTATCATACATAAAACGATTCAAATACTCAGCGACAGCGGCGTCCTACCTGGAAGGTCACAGCCCAGTATCTCCACTCTCATCCCGATCCCCGCTGGAGACCACCTCTCTGGATACAGCCTGACGTACTGGGCCGCCGTCTCCTCAAAGTGACGCAGCTCTGGGGTGTCGTAGTGCATGTTCCCCTCGAAAATCTGCATGTACAACGCAATAGTTGCTGAATCGGTGTCTTAAAAATAAAAAACAAACATCAGTTTTCTCATCCTCCCTCACCCACCTTAGGCAGGCTTGTCTTGCTGTCCATGATGAAATTCCACTCCTTCCCGTTCAGGCTGTGCGCCACTTTGTACTTGCGAACAAACGCCCGATTATCTGTGGTCGCCCCGCTCCCAGCGTCTCCTCCCCTCGCTCCTTGGGTGATCACGCCACGCATCGTCTTCGGCACACCTAGGTCCACCTGAAGGGATTCAATTTGGATTATTACCAAACAACAACACATGGTTATGGTTCAATTGCTGCTGTGTGTCTTGTTTAGGCTCTGAGCAATATGTGGAAGCAAGAATTACTCATGCAGTAATACCAACCGGAAACGTATTAATAAAATGTACGTACCTGCAGCCACTGCTCTCCCGCCAGGGGCTGTGCAGGGGCAGGGAACCAGCCGGAGCGACTCGCCACCAGACGGGCGGTGCCGGGATTCCACATCATGTCCCGGCTGGAGGACGCCGAGATCTGGGCGTCGGGCAGCAGGCCGGACAGCAGGCCCTGCAGGTCCGAACACGGTGCGTCTGGAGCGGGGCGAGAGGTCAGAGAGTCATTTAACCTTCACCTTCGAACAAGCGCCATTACACATATTCCCACCTGGGAGCTGTTAAGCTTGGCCACAGGATTTGCACTACTGAGCATTAAGAGCAGAACAGACAGGAGAGGGTGAGTGAGAGAGGGAAAGGAGATGTGAAGCACAACACTAGATGCAATTAGTGCTATTAGCCGATATAAAGCACATGTTAAGTCTAGTGCTGAATGGGCTCACTTCACCGCTTTGAGTTCATGCACTTCACATCTCGCACAAACACAATGGGGTCTTTTAAATGTGTCGTTCACTGTATTGTGTCTATATATTCTTTGTGTTGTGTCTTTATATTCTTTACAATAGCCTGTCTGCTCACTGGGCTGCGCACATTTAATGTACGTCCAGCAGCTGAGGGAGCGTTCCACATATATGCAGGAGCGGTTGGGAATGAAACTTGTTCAGATATGGATGGGTGAGTAGAGTTGAGAGTAACATGCTGAAGGGGGGAGTGTGAAAAGGTGGAAATTAAGGATTAAGGGGATGAGAGAGATATAATTTGAGGAGCTGGGGACATGGTGGGGGAGAGAGGGATGGTGAGAGGGAGGCGGATGAGCACGGAGGGTGGTGGAAGAGGAAGAGAGGGAGACTGAGGAAGTGAGAGGGGGCAGGAGGAAGCCAGTGGGGGAGACGTTAGTTGTGCTGACGGTTTAAGAGAACGCAGATCAAAGTTTCATGCTGTTATGTCACTGCAAAAGCAGGAGATTTAAATAATAAATAAAAGGCACAGGAAGTGTGTACGGGTGTGTGTGTGTATGTGCTGTCTGTGTACATTTCAAAGGGCGTGCCTGCTTTTGAGGTCACCTGCTATATTTAGAAGCCGTCGGTGTGTGCGCATGTACCTGCGCTGTAACGGCAAATAGCTGCTTCAGCACAGCAGCTGTTGATGCTGCGGCGAATCACAGTTTCTGATGTAAGAGTGAACGGGCGGGTGTGGGGGGGGGGCATGAAAGATTGATCGGTACTCATTTCTAGACGTGGAGCAGCCTGCGCGACAAAGGGGGCGCTTCAGAAAAGTAAAACCATGAGAGGGAAAGTGAGGCGCCGTTGGGGGAGTTGGAGACGGAACGAGCAAGACGAAGGAGGAGAAGTGGGAGAGTGTCGAGAGAGGGAAATG